TTTGCTTCAGTCTCTTTATGAATTTTGGAATTAAAATAATATAATTAAACTTTGATTGGCATAATGAGGACTAGAATGTGATGGGTTCGATTTTGCATGTGCAAAAAGTTCACATGGTTTTTTTTTGCAATGAAAAATTATTGGCTTCCTTAATTTCATCACGATTAATGCAGTTGTAAAACAAGTAATTTACCCTCACCTACTCTAGTCTAGTGTAAGTGATCCTCCTTCACAAGTGTTTACCTTGTAGCCCCCTATTATGATCCTCGGGAATCATTAGCGTCCGGTAATCCTGCCGGGCGTGAAGCCAAAAGACATACTGGTGGTCCATTTCAGAGGGCAGTGTACCATGCGGGTTGCGCCTGGTACATCTCTGATAGCAGAGTGGACCGTGGGAGCAACTCCGTGTATGTGTGGTCTGCATCGCAAGTCTGCCGTTTTAGCGAGAAGGAGTATCAAACATACATACGCCCACACATACAAACACTATCACGCAATGCAATCTTTTCATGCATGTATAATGTATGTATATATACGATAGCAGACCGATCTAAACAAGAAACCAACGTAATAGAGTATCTTAAACTAAATCTTATATAACATTGAAATAATTATATTTTACAGTGAGTTCTAATTTAAGGCTAATTATTTATAAATGACACAACTCTTTTACTGTAAGGCACTTAGGGATGCACTCGAGTGTACCAAGATTTAGTCACTAGTATACAATTATAATTATATTTCTGATCTGTAATAAGTTCCATGTTAATGTTAGTTTTAAGTAATAATACCCTCTTAACCCAATTCGGCTACGTCGGTCAATCTCACTGACAATGGGACAAGAAAGATGCGCAGGAGATATATGTAGTGCACAATAATTTGTAAGCGCAGACAACGTGCACTGGACGATACTTCGACACGACCTGTGGGAGTTAAGGCTCAAGATCGACAGCTTTACGTGCTCTGTCTCAGCATGGAGTTGATACACCACCAACTTCCCAACTCCGGGCTGTTACTGGTTCCTTACCAGAAAAGACTCAATAATTAAACTTGGCCCGACCCGGACTAGAACCCAGGATCACCGGATGCCGTACATGCTAGCAACTGGACCACCAAGATAAATAATGGCTACTACATGAAAAACCGATCTTGAATTGCAAAATAGATCAATGTTTGATGTAATAACAAGTATCTAATAGGTAATAAAATGGTAATATCTGTTGGTATGAATTGCTTACATTTATTACGTTTAATAATAGTTTAGATTTACCTTATGTTAATTCATAGTGTTGCGCTTTTCATTTGTTTAAAATATTTATGAATATCTATTGTGAAAACGACTTAACTTAGTTCATACTTACATTACTTTTAAAACTTTAGTATGAAACTGGCTTTCTGATGTTATTGGTATTATTGTACAGTGGCTTCTTAGTTAAATCATACATACTCGTATAATAAAATGGTAACTAATCCGAATCTGTACATTAGATATTTTTTGGAAAATCTTATTGAAATAGACTTTATTATCGATACAGAGGCCGAATCTGTAGTTTTTAGAATTTTTATCTCTTTGTCTGTTACCGCATCACGGGAAAACCACTGGATATAGGATACTTTTTACTGCGGGAAAATATGTATTTCATCTCTAAGAAATCTATATACACTAAATGTTAAAACGTAACTGGGGACGAATCCAAGTGGAGCGGGGGTGAGTAGCTAGTATAAGCTAAATTTAGTGATAATGTTATATTCTTTTGTGTCATAGAGGAAGTAGCTGTCGTCTGTAATACAGGCTCGGCCTAGTACAGTTGGCAGTGGCCAGTGACAAACCGATGTAAGCAACTTATATGTAATTTGTAGTTAGCATTATTTTGCGCTTATTGTAAAGAAATGTAACTTATGCTAATAAGTACTTAGTTTTATTTATTTTATTTATTTATACTTATGTAATAGTAATACTATGTACTTAAAATAAAATAAAAATTTGTAATAGGCGAAGATCGAATTACATAACCCCTAGGCAATAATGCCTATAAGGCAGGCAAAAAAAAATAAGGCAGTAGTAGCCCTGTGGTAACACGCTCGCTTGGGAAACCGAGTGAAGTGAGTTCAGGTCTCGCACCTCTGATATTTTCATGTGCGAATCATTTCCAACATGATTACCACTTGTCTTAACGGCGAAGGAAAACATCGTGAGGAAACCTGCATGTCTGAGAGAACCTAGCAAATTTTCAAAAGACATGTGAAGTCCGCCAACCCGCACTTGGCCAGCGTGGTGGACTATGGCCTGATTCCTCGCGTACTGAAGGGAGGCCCGTGCCCAGCAGTGGGACGTTAAAAAGGGCTGAGTACAATATATATAAGTAAAAAAAGCTAAATCTCTCTTTTGCTTCAAATAAAGTAGTATTTTGTCGCTTAAAGTTATTATTCTGTAGTTCAAAATAAATTAAAAAAAATTATCAATAATAAAAAATTAACAAAAATCAACACAATAAAAAAAAGAACTATGAAAAGGGCGGTGTTTAAATCAATTAATATTTCTAAGCCCATTTAAATATGATTTATAATAATCGATGAGCCGAGCCGATCAAACTAATCAATAATATCCATATCCATACTAATATTAGAAATGTGAAAGTGTGTTTGTTTGTTTCTTTCTTTCTTTGTTTGTTTGTCCTTCTTTCACGTTAAAACAGAGTGACGGATTGGCGTGATTGTTTGTGTGGATTGAGATTGAGATAGTTGGAGAGCTGGAGAGTGACATAGGCTACTTTTTATCGCCGGATATTATCTCATTCCCCCGGAAAAACATTATAATATAACCCAAAAAATTATGTATTATCAGAATTACATGAAACTTGGTATTAATGCTCTTCAAAACAATTAAATAAAAGCGTGTTTCAGCATTTTTCGAAATTCATCCCATAAGGTGTTAAAATAGGGGATGAAAGTTTGTATGAAACCTTCCTATTTAGAGTTTGTTTTAGCGCGAGCGAAGCCGCGGGTTCAGCTAATAGTATATAATTAACAAATTTTCATATAGATCAAAGATCAAAATGGTTAAAGTAGTTAACAGCCTCAATGATGAATGATCGCATCTGGATCGTGATCGCAATCGCTTATTTGTTGTTGCCCAATCCGAAGTCGATTTATTGACTGACTTTGAAGAACAAGGAAATCTATACATAATACTTACACATATAATAAACTTCTGCGTCGAATCTGTATATTTTTTTTTTTTGGAAAATCTTATTGAAATAATCATTATTATCGATACAGAGGCGAATCTATAGCTTTTAGAATTTTTGTCTGTCTGTCTGGGAATGCATTACGAGAATACCACTTGACAAATTTTGATGGTAGCTCAAATCCGAATCTTATATAGGATACTTTTTTGTTTTAACTGCGAGAAAATATCTCGTCTAAAAAAACGTTATTGCTTATTAATAATATAAATGCGAGTGTTTGTTTATTTGTTCTATTATTACGTAGCAATGATGTTTTTTTTTATTTTTTTATTGAATAGCAACCCTAATAGTATACATACGCAGCATTTACTAAATACTTTTCGAACTTCAAAATGAAAGTAAGTTCTAGCAAATGCGAACATTTCGCGCTGGAACCGTAAATATTACCGGAATAAAACATTCATTATACAGGGTCATTTCTAATTTACTGAAAACCTTTTGGGAATATACTATTTACATCATAACAACAACATCTGTAAGAAGAAAAAATAATGTTTCTTAAATTTTTATTTTCATACAAAAATAATAATATTTTTTTTGCACCTTCTAAACTTTAAAGTTCTAGCATTTGGCTAAGTTTAAAAGAGTTAGCGGTACTTCTTACACTCCTCCACCCCTCCCCCTCCACCGGACACGCACTTTCTGTTTCTAATGCTGGACTATTACCGTTGAGAAAGTGCAATAAAAATATTTTTATTTGTTTTTAATTTAAGATATATATTTTTTTCTTACAGATGTTGTTGTTGTGTTGTAAATAGTGTATTCCCAAAAGGTTTTCAGTAAATTAAAAATAATCCTGTATGTACACAGCCCTACAAACTCCTCTATCTTTCAGTGACCTTTTCTTATTGAATGTTCTCGAAATCAGCAATTTTAATTAGGTATCTCTTAACTAAGCTTCAGGGAGACAAGAAGTGAATAATACGACAGTTCGTTTTAAAGATTTTTTATTTATATCAATATTTATCAATCACAGTCTACTACGGCGTTATACATCACAATGTTTAATACCTACCGTTGCTATTGTTTATAAGTTACAACAATTATAATAAAAATAGGCAGATTCGGTTCAGTTGTGCGTTCACACGATACATATGTTATACGCTGCGATGATTTTGTCATACAAAATAGATAATTTTACATTAAAACGATGTGAAATCTGTTAGTTTATATATATTATTATGTATAATATAGCTTTAACTATACTTAATGTGAGAAAGAGATGGAGAATTTAATGTTTTTTTTCTCTTTCGTAATGATGTATTTAATTAGGCTGATTAGTGATTAGTAAACCCAATACTTAGTTCGCCCGGGCATCGAACCCGCCGCCACTATTGTTATAAGTAGTGCAATCTTAATAAAATACATTGGACCTATAGAGTCCATCGCAGTTATTAAAAAAAAAACTATTTTTCTTTACAAAAATTTGCTATAAAATATAAAGTAGGTGAGTAAAATTATATAAATATTTAAAAATAATACATTTAGTTTTGTTTTTAATACAACCGACTTCCGGTCCAGCGGAAGCTTTTTTAAAATTTTATTTACAAGTTAACTTAATAAGTACAAAACGAGACGTTTTGCTGCCTTATTCCATACATAATAGATATATTAATGTTTACATTTAAAGATGGAAATATGATACTTTCAATATGCAGATAATTTTTATCGCAGCGTCTCTTTGCGCGTGTGAAGCGCTCTCGTCTTAACTAGCAACAGGAACTTGGTTTACATCATATTTTCCTTATCCTATCCGTCGGATTCATTCGGCTGAAACAAAAATTAAAAATGTAAATATAAAACAAAAAAATGATTATGAAATACGAAAATTCAAGATTTTAAATTTTAGTTAATTATGAGGTTCAAATTGTGCTTTATACTTTAATTTTTTTTTATTTAAAATTATATAAATAATTATTGAATAATAAATAAACAAAGAAAAAGATCGATTACTCACAAACATAAAAATATATCTATGAGTGGAACAAATATTTAGAATTTAAGTCAGATATATTTTTTAAAAGATTTAAAAAAAAAACCATAAAGCTACCTACTCGCGCCGGATACACGAAAGTTTTAATCTCCGTACTTCCGAACACGTTCGTGGCTTTGCAAATGAACTCGCCCATGTCGCTCCACTGCAGTGCAGCGATCACCAGCTCGCCTGAACGAAGCACCTGTAACAATTATATTATATTTACTAAATATATACATTTAAATGGTTTTTTTTTTCATATAGATTTAAAATAATGCAATATAAGATATATATATATATATATATATATATATATATATATATATATATATATATATATATATATATATATATATAAACAGAATTTTTTAAATTATAATTGCTTATACTTTTTTTAGTGAGGTTCCGTATCGGGGTTCGATAAACAATACCGAATACGCATATACGAATGAATTTTTATATTATTAACTATTTTTATGGTTATTTTAAAACAATATACATTAGAAGTAAACTTTTGAAAGTAAATGTACAAAATATATAGATTTTCAAAAATGCATACACAGTTCGCGCCATCTATTGTACAAATCAATTATGAAGCTTTTACGTTAATGAGCGCCATCTTGTGTCAAGTAGAAGAACTATTTGAGTTTAAAATTTTTAAAGCCCGTTTTAATTAAATAATATAGATAAATTAGTAACATTGAAATTAGCTATATATACATAATTGTATTAAAACTCAAATATTTCATGTTTTATTTCTTATAATGTAACTATAAAGGTGGCTATTAAGATGGAATTCAAAAGTGTTTATAATTTATGAAGTTGGCGAAATATATATATGATATACTAGCGGCTCACCCTCGCTTCGCTCGGGTTCGTCGCAGGACGTTTTATAGATATAAAAAGACACAAATCTTTCTTTCTCACATTTTAATTATATGTTTTAATACTTACCTATTCCGGACTAAGAGAAATCCAAAAATTAAAATATCATAAAAATTGAACGCGGTCGAGGCACGGGATAAAAAGTATCCTATGTCCTTCTCCTGGCTCTAAACTACCTCCCTGCCAATTTTCAGCTAAATCGGTTCAGCCGTTCTTGAGTTATAAGCGAAGTAACTAACACGACTTTCTTTTATATATATATATGTTAGCTTAATTTCAAACTTCAAAATTTTTATAAATTAAACAATCAAGTTGCAATTACACTATAATATTCTATATATTCTGAGTTCTTAATAGTTAGAATTTATATTGAACTAACCTTCATCCTGCTATTTTTATTAATGACTGCGCCATTGTTATCCCTCCACACGACCACCGGCCGCGGGTGACCCTTCACTCGACACGGCAGTACTACATTACTGCCTATTGTATCCACGAATACTTTGTATGAAACTAGTATTCTCGGCGACAGAGGAACTAATTTGGACCGCTCCGTGATATCTGTGCTGCCATCTGTTGACAAGAAGAAACAATATGGTTGAAATCGATTTACTCTCGATTCGAGTTTATTTATTTGAATCGATGGATGTATGTATGTACGTTATATTTATCTATCACTTTGATGTTTGTGTTTTTAAGAGGGACAAAGAATATTTATTTTTATACTTCAGATTATTTTTATTTAATTAAATAATAATAAATCTGCATGTCTGAGAGAACCTAGCAAGTTTTTGAAAGACACGTGAAGTCCGCTATACCACACTTGGCGGGCTACGCTAGATCCCCCTCAACTAAAATCGAGGCCCAACCCCAGCAGTGGGACGTTAAAAAGATCTGAATATTATATATATTATTAATTTGTAAAGTTTTAACATGGAGTAATAGAGAATATAAAATTTATATTTAATTCAGTTTTTTATACAATTTTTTTATTTGACCTAAAATGAACAATATAAAATCGAAAATATAGTTAAGATATTTTACTTTTTATTTCAATTTTATGTCTTCGCAAAGATTATATTACATTAACCATATCTTCTTACATTATCAATAAAATAGACACATGAATTAACTTTTTGGACTCTAATCTTTCATAGAAAGATATGAAAACTATTTCTACTACACCATAAAGCCTTTGTTAAAGTTTTTGGTGGCACATTAATTTTATTTTTATGTCCTTGTTATGCGTGATTGCTATCACGTTTTTGCAAGGCGTTATTATTATTACCGGCTTTTTAGTATGAACTTCGAATCGTAACTTTTAATTCTAATTTAACCGACTTTAAAAAGAAGGGAGGGTAATTCGAGTGTATTTATGTTTGAGAATGTAATGAATTTGTTTTGATAAACACCTTGTATAGTCTCATGTAAATTAAAGTAAAAAATATCTCTTAAAGTTGATGATAGCTGGTTATCCGGGTTAACATATAGGATACTTTTTACTGCGGGAAAATATCTCATCGCTAAGAAATTTATACTAAACGTTAAAACGTAACTAAATAGATAAATAAATAAAAATGGAGGTGTGTCGTTGTTAAAAAACTTATAATTTAAAGTAAAAAAAATCGTGACAAACCCAGCCCGCGAACGATTAGTGACACATAAAACTCGTCAAAGATTTATTTTTATCTTATCTCATAGTAAAAAAAGGGACACGTGTACATAAAGTAGCAGGAATTTCGGTTTAGATTGTAATGCGTTATCACATTTGGCGCTGGTCGTTTCAATTTTTTCTACTTCCGCATAATTTATTCACGCTTGTGATTCACAGTTTAAGAATTTGTAGGGAAGACTCTATATTATCAGACTACTATAAATGCGAAAGTTTGTATGTTTGTACGTTTGTTACATCTTCAATCTGAAACGGCTGGACGGATTTGGATGAATTTTGGTATACAGATAGGTTATGACCTCGAGTAACACATACTGTTAATCAGAACAGACAGAATTACTTTATAACATAGAAGTCAGCTAAATTTTGTGTCAATACATCATATAATGACATGAAAGAAAATATGTTTTTTTTTAAATAGGACCGTGAAATTAATCATAACTCCTTTATAAAAGTTACATTCCTATCGCCTGTTTTATTGATATATGGAAGTTATCGAAATAGGTCATTATGAATATCGATTTTTCATAGATAAAGTTTAATGTAAGGTAGTTTATTGAACCTAGCTCTAAAAACCATATTGGAAATGTTTGAAATAATCCCTACTTTGGCCAGGAACAGCAAAATTATTTCAATTAAATGTCAATAGATGGCTCTATACTTTCTTACGATTTTTATGTTTGTGTTGTTATTAATAAAATAATCAATAGACTCTAAAATGGTGCATTCTCGTTTGAAAATATAGTAAAAAATAAATAATGCATTATTATATTAAATTTCTTAATTTTACTAATGATTTAAAAACTAGCTATAAGTATAGTATTATATGATCTGTCCTGCAGGTGAGTGAGTTTTTACTGCGCATTCATAGACCAACGCCATGTTTAAAAACATATTTTCATGAGTTATTTATCTACCATATTTAAAAACTATTGAAGTAACTGTAATGTTTTATTAAAAGTTAAGATTTTCACTATATTTCAGTTCATAATAAATTAATTCGACAGCTTGCGAATCAGCGCCATCTATGAGACAAAAAAGTCCAAAGAATAGCCCGAATTAGCGCTATCCAACTTTTTTGTATAGAATGGGGTCCGTATTAATGTAATATTGTGTAATTTATGATTACAAAGGGTTATTTACCTGTAGTATAAACAAAAGTGGATGCTCTTGCAGTTTTCAGTCCGGCCACAGCAAGGCAGGTGTACATTGCTGGTTTTTCTGACCGCGATATGAGCAATGTCGAAGTAACACGAGCGAGGGACGACGGATTTGTGTCTATCACTTCATTCGATTCTCTATCGTACTGAAAAAAGAAAAGCCTTTTAAATAAAGTTATCTTTTCGGATTTTTTCGCGGATTTAATTGGATTTTTGGTTCCCGATGTTTCGAATGCTTTACAGCAATCATGGTCAAGGGAGAATCAAAACGTCGGGACCCAAAAATCCAAATAAATCCGCGAAAAAATCCGAAAAGATAGTTTTATTTAAAATGTCAAATATTCGCGTAAATCTAAGAAAGTATTAAAGAAAAGCCTGCTTAAAAATGCAATTCTAACACTGGCTGAATTATTTCGTATAGTATAAATCGCTTGGTTTGAACATGAATGTTGCACATTGTGTAGGAGTTTCTTAAATAATTATAAACATACATAATAATTTTTGAAAATTCATCCCTTAAAAACGTAACGTCGGTGGGAAATCCAAAATTAAAATTGTAAGATGTTAGTGTTACTATGTACTTAGTTAAAATATTTGATACGATGGCGAATGTTGGAAAACTAACGGTTGAACAGGTTTCTTATTGCCGCTATATATAATTATATACGAATACTTTTAAGATCGCGGTTTTTCTTCCGAAATGAATTCAAATTATTATGCTTAAAACATTAATCCTATTATTATAAATACCCTATATAAGGGTGGAGCGAAAAAAAGTTTTTTTTTTCTTACCTTGGTGTAGAATTTGTAGCTTATAAATATATATTGTAGCAAATACAAAAAAGTAACATGTTATTTTTTCAACATTTTTTAAAATTGCAACAATACAATATTACAGTGAAAGTTGGTTAAAAAATGTCTATATTCGTCAATTCGTGAATGTTTTTAAAGATGATCAGATGAAAAAAAAGTCATTCAAACGAAAAGCTTAAATTAATTATTTTAAAATTCAGTGGGACACCTCAAAATGTTGAGTAAAAATTTTTTTTTTATTTCAAATTTTTTTTATAAGCTACAAATTCTACCCCTAAGCTAAGAAAAAAAAAATTTTTTCGCTCCAACCTATGACTTATAGTGTACACCAGACGTTTTTTAGAACGAGGAAGACGGAGCAAGTATATAAAAGCACACAAACGACAAACAGACAGGTGTTTGATCTATTCTACAAAACTTTTTCTGTTCTACGACCGCTGTTTCCGCTATCATACCTTATACAATATACTCGAATTATGTTTGCGAATTCAGCTGTCGAGTTACGTGAAATATCTTATAGAATAGCACTACAGATCTGGAAATTTTGGCGGTATAAGGGCGGTTTAAATTAAAATTATATATATATATATATATATATATATATATATATATATATATATTCAGTATCAAATGATTACAATTTTTTATTTAACGTCGCAAGTACATCAGCAGTTCAGAAAAAACCTAAGTTTCTTTTAAATAAATTATAATTTGCAATAATACTAGTTGAATTCCCAAAATATTTTCTATAAAATCATTTGATTTAATATCCTTTAGCAAACAAATGTACTTTAACATTTTTTTGGAACTTTGGCAATAGGTCGAAGCTTTTTGAGCTTTTTCTAGGATATCTATTAATTACTATTTATAATTGCGAGTGTAAGTTACCTCAAATACAGGTGCGTCATTTTTGAACCAATGCACTGAGGGGGCGGGGGCACCAATGGCTTCACAAGTCAACTCGAGGGTGGTCCCGGGAGTGTGGGCACTGCGGTCTGAAGGCCGCCTAGTTAACGTTAGAAAACGTTTTGACTGTGACTGTACTGTAAAAGAGAAATGATTTTAATCTATCTATATGTTGTAAAAGAAAAATATTTTTAAAACTATCTTTATTTTTTGCTAATTATTATAGCTTATATCGCTAAGTTATCGATCGTAAATAATGTGCTGAAGAGTTTGCTTTTGTGTGTTTAAATAAATATGTTGGGACATACACTACACATATATAACTTTAAATACATACATATTATAAATATAAACACCCATGACTGGAGTACAAACATTGGTGCTCATCACACAAATGGATGCCCCCAGCGGGACTCGAACCCGCGACAGCTGGCACAGCACTACAAACTGAGCCAAACGTGTCATCACTTTTGTGTGTGCTTAAGAACTGCCAGTCAAATTTATATATCGTCTCCATTAAATTATATGTTTCAACTAAATGTCTCGTGGTATGAACAAAATATCAATTAAAATAGCATATTTTACAAAATTTGTTAGAACTGATTATACCTAAAATTACGGTTGCATCGTCATGCAATAAACGGGGATTTTATATATATTTGACAAAAAACTTTACATGTACATCAAAAATTATAATTACTTTGCAAATTTTAACTAAAATTATGGTATTTTCCTGATTATGATAAGATGTTATCTTTTTATATTGTTTATAGATGACCATAAAAAGTGGGGAGATTTGGTGAGTCACAGCATCCGGTTGTTAAATTTATTATAATATTAAATTATATATAAAACACTTTACTTCACGTTTCTGTGATTTTTCTTATAATCTACAACCATATAATCAAGATATCCGCTTTTAAGTGTGGGGATTGATGAGATTTAAAGAAATCGAGGGACTCGAACCTCTGCTATGCTCTAGTTTGAATAATTTTCAACATGATTACCACTTGTTTTACAGCGAAGGAAAATATTGTGAGGAAACCTGTATATCTGGGAGAAGCTAACTAGTTTTTGAAATGTATATCAAGTTCACAACCTGCAGTCGGCCAGCGTGGTGCACTGTAACCTGTTGCCCCTCAATATGAAGGAAGGCCCGTGCCCAGCAGTGGGACAAATTTATATAATCTTTGCTTTAATCTTAAATCAATTTTTAACCCCCGACGCAAAAACGACGGGGTCCCGAACGAATGAACCGATTTTGATTTTGATTTTTTTTGTATGAAAGAAGAATTAATCGGGAGTCTTCTTAGCTATGTTTGTTGAAAATCGGTCCAAGATGGTCGGGGGTTTTTTTAATTTTTAATATGATATTGAATAAAAATCGAGATAAAATTTCTATAAGCTGTTGTTGGTATAAAGCCCATACTCTGCCTAGGACGTCTGCACAAAATTCTCATTTCATTAACTGTATGAATGATTACCAGACTTAGATTTAGCTATGTAGGTAAATCTGCGAAGGCATATCCTAGCATTCTGGATATTTTTGAGTTACAATTACTCGTTATGTCATCTGTACAGACAGCTTTAGCTTAGACCATTGTCCACCACGCTGGCCAAATGCGGGTCAGACATTCACAGACAGATAAGACAATTCGCTCAGACATGCAGATTTCCTCACAATATTTTCCTTCACTGTAAGGCAACTCAAGATCCGTTTCCAAAAAAAAAGCCACTAATAGTACTTGTACTGATTTTTTTACTTTTTCCTTTAAAAACGGCTGGATAGATTTGGGTGAAATTTAGTACACGGATAGGCTATAGCCTGGAGATAGTCAGTCAGTCAGTCGGTAGTTTAAGTAGTATATACAGGGCCATCTTAAACCATCCAGGGTCTTGGGCACACAACAATTTAGGGCTCTTTTAGAAAACAAAAAACGTGAATGATAATAAAAAAATAAATTACAATTTCTTTTCCACGTAAATGTGTATGTTGTGTTTTCGGGGCCCCTGTGAGGCTGGGGGCCCTGAGTGTGGGCGTGCCCCGTGTGTATAAGGGCAAAGACGGAATTGAGTATAATATAGTGAACTTACCATTACTCTGTATGTGATTCTCGAGTTCTAAAAGCTTCATATGCCTGTTGACGTTCGCCGCTCGAACTCCCGCCAACGCGATTAAAATAAGTAAAGTATACATTATTATTGAGATTCTTTTATCTGAAACAAACATTATGAAATTAGCTCTCGCAAACACTTCTTCCGGTTTATTTTATGTTGGTATTTGTCAAATCTATACTAATATAATAAAGAGGTAAAGTTTGTGAATTGTGAGTTTGTGACGTTTTCCCTACAACGTCTTAAAAAAAAGTGCGTGTGTGTGCAATTCACATATGATAGAAGTGAAACTTCAGAAAAGTAACCTACGAGAGAATGAGACGAATATAGAGTATCAGGAGTAGGATAATTATAAGGTTTATTTTTTTTATAATATTTTTATTTTTCTTTCATGGACAATTCTTGAGACATATACACACATATAACAGACCTATATCCTATTCATTATAGAATCATTATCAAAATCGATTCAGAAATTAAGAAAAAAATACGCGTACAACATTCCCCTGATTTGAGAAATGTCGAGAACAAGAAAAACAAAAATAATCGTATAATTAATTTCTGATTCTTTTAATTATTTTAATGAAATTACTTTTTTTTACTTTCACGATGATATTATATTCTAAAACACAGAATAACGGTCAAAATTTGAGATATAAATAATGTTATAAATAAATAAAAAATATTCGTAGCATAAATCTATAGATTTTTTTGTTGAGTACTACATTTCCTTTATAAATAAAAAAAAGTACCGGTTATTTTATCAGGAACGAGGCGCAGTTTTGTGGAATTTATGTTACTAACATTTCCAATATAAGAATTTATAAAGTATAAACACTAACTTTATCTAATTATGTTAAACCTAAAACTTTTAAAACTATATATATTTTTTAATACTAATTTAAGATTAACAAGGTATTTTTTATAGAGTTTTCTTGTTTTTTAATAATAAAATTAGTAAAATAATTTATTTCTACATTTTAACTTACCAATAGCAATTTGTTGACATATTAAAATTTAAAAGTAGAATTTTTGTAATTTATAATAAATGATATAAAATATTTTGTTGTAATTTTTTGTAAATGTTAATATAAAATTTTAGGAATTCTATATATAAAGTATCTTATTATGGAATTTCTAAAATTTGATAATACATTTTTACCACATCTATACACAAGAATATATTTATGGAAAGTGCGCACTTTTGTTACGGGCTCATTTTACATTATCTTACACAATAGATAATAGATTCTAAACGCAGAATAGAAATACGACGTATTTGTTGCGTCATTTTTTCCCTCTCAAATTTTTACGTATAAAAACGAACAATTTTTAATACGCTATCGCTATTTAAACTCAAAAATAATTATTCATTTTTAAATGAAATATATAACAAAAAATATTTATTGTTCCAAAAAAAAAACTGACGCATAAAAAACAATAAAATAGAAAAAAATACCTTTAAAAAAAGATCACTGGCCAGTAAAACCTAACCACAGATTTTTTGTTCACTGACACGAAAATATTTCGAACAAAAAAAAAAGATTCTCGACGATTTAAAATTAAAAATCGAACACTTTTTGAAAATAGGCGCGTACGCAATAAGGCATTGGCCGTTACTAACTAAACGCCGGATCTGGTGCGTAAGCGTATATATAGGCGACTACATACATACATACATACGGTTATAGCAACTAGAACTTTTCTGATGAAGCTTTAAAAGTTTCAATTAAAAATATTGCTTAAGTTAGAATATTATATTTAAACTTAAAATGTTAGTATATTTATATAATAATGACAACGTGTACAGATAAAAAATGAGAGTAATGTTTAATTAATGAATGATAAAAAATATAATATAATATAATGTAATGGGTTTGGAGATTTTATATGTTTTTGTATTATATTAAAGACTATATAGACTACAGAGAGACTATAATAATAATAAATAAATTAAATACGTTGGGACATTAACACACAGCACCTTCTAATTCCATGGTAAGCTACGAGGCTTGTGTTATGGATACCAGGTAGTTGATACACTACACATATATAACTTTAAATATATATTATAAATATAAATTATAAGCTTGATTAATACTGTTAGACATCCTAGGGGTGCACCCGTGACCCGAGAGAACGTGGAATTATATAGATTAAAAATAATAATATTTAAAAAAAACATAGTAAAGTAGGTTTATAAAAAGAAGGTATGAATGGAGGGAGGAGGGTGAGGTAGGTATTTTGTGTGTACGTTATACTATATCATAATCGATTTCAATAATTTATTTTGTATAAATAGATTTAAAATTCTCTAAAGTTCCACCCTTACCGGTGGAAAATGTACTTTTAAGTTTTTAGTAAAAAAGAACCAACTTAAAGTTTTGCATAGTTTTTTTTATTTCATTTTGAAGGGAGAAGTAGAATTTAAAGTGATTTCTTCTTTGTTCTCTGTTTTTTTTAATCAAATTTTAGAACATGTTGGATAGTGACACTAAATAGTATAATTTATTTAATAAGAACAATTATCTGTACTGTATTAACATTTTGTCTTGCGTGGGTATCGAACCCACGACATACGTTGTAGTAGACAAATAACAAAAGGAATCAGAAAGGTCATATACGTTATTCTAAAATGATATCATAAATATGTGAATATATTTGTTTCATATAAGATTTATAGCAACTACATATATTATTCATTCAATGGTGAATAAATCGATTTTATGACCATGACCATCCTCTGACAGCTCATCCCTAAAACAGTTTTACAAGAAAATATAATTTTCAGACAAATAACTGTAACTTTATAAAAAGGCAATGTTACTAGTGTATATCGAAATCTGTCATTTTCTGAACTGTCTGTTTCATTTTTTTTTACAACAACCAATATCTAACTTAGTGTAAAAATTATAAAGAGAATTTTGTTCTTTAGTACTTAATTTTTCTTCTCTTTTTTTTTAGAAAATCGATGTAGCACTCTCCATTTTACAATTTACAACTACAATGATTTGTGGAAATATTTAGAAAATACACATAAAAGTTCTACGCAAATAAAGTTCTTTGTACGAAATCGTAAAGTCGATAAGGCTGCCACTACAAAATTGACTAAAAAGAATATTTTTAGAAAAAATGCTGATAATTTATTATATGGAGGAAACGAATATTTGTTATATTAATAAATTAAAATAATTCTTATGAACAGTAATAACTTCAATAAAAAAATTGCTTCCAGTGGCTATTATAAAGAATTATTTATTCTAAATAGGGTCCCGTTTTACCCTTTGGGTACGGAATCCTAAAAATTGAGAATATCATGTCATATATCACGCATAATTTTTTTGCTACTTCAGCTCTGTTACAGATTGATATTTGGATGCTTGATATTTTTTTTAATAATGTATCTATATTTTAAAATTCTATTTTTTTTTAAATATAGCGTATAGTTGTACGTTTTTACTATATGTTTATCTGTGAATTAATTTCATCCAAATCATTGTAGCCGTATCAGCATGACATATACGTACATACACACACTTATTCTATCTTTCGCATATTTTTTTCGAGTTTTATAACTGGTCCTATAAAGTATTAGAAATAGACATATCTAAAAATGTCTTATTTTACTCTCACTTGTTTCATGATACACGGTCAATTGATCGAAGTACGTAACTGAGCGCAATCAATCATGCCCATTAAAGCTAAACTTAAACGACATTATTATTTGCTTTTATCATTTTTAATATGCGACCAACTAACAGCGATTAATTTTCAAAGTTTATGTTTGATTGAACTTTACGAGTAAACTTGACTCAAGAAATCTATACATATAATAAAATTCTGAGTCGAATCTGTACATTAAGTATTTTTTGGAAAATCTTATTGAAATAGTCATTATTATTGATATGACCTATAGTTTTTAGAATTTTTGTCTGGGAACGCATTACGAGAAAACCACTCGACAGATTTTGATGAAATTTGGTATGATGATAGCTGGTTATCCGAATCGACATATAGGATACCTTTTACTGGAGAATATCTTATCTCTGAGAAATGTTAAAACGTAACTAGGGACCCAAGTGGAGTGAGGGTGAGTCGCTAATTAATTATAAAAACAAATATTTTTGTATTTATACTAATTTAGCCTATGTTTCATATATGTATATACCTGTGTTCTTAAAGTCCGTCCGTCCGACATCTAAATCCGTCCAGTCGTTTCACGTTTGGAAATCACAAACAGGTACACGTCGTACAAATTTTTATATACGGAGAAAAAGCAGTTTGTCTCTTTGCTTGTAATCTAGCTATTGTTTTTTTGTTTGTTTGAAAAGATTTATCTTTGTAAGTATTTAGCAGTCCGTTTAAGAATAAATTTTTGAGGAGTTTTATATTTATAATATTACGGTACAGTTTTATTATACATAAATAAAAAACGCTAGTATTATAAATAAAACTATCTTTTCGGATTATTTCGCGGATTTATTTTGATTTTTGGTTCCCGACGTTTCGAATGCTTTACAGCAATCATGGTCACGGGAGAGACTGAGGTTATTAAATTTTAAAATGTTTAGAAATATAATCAAAAAATATTGTAAGGTATTGTAAGGTACTATAAAGGCTTTGAGTCGTCTAAAATCTTAGCTAAAAACCAATGTCACTTAAATAATCCTAATAACATTATAAATGCGAAGGTTTGTGACGAAGTATGGATGTATAGATGTATGGATATTTGTTATTCTTTCACGTAAAAACTATTGAATGGATTTTAATGAAACTTTACAATAATATAGATCATACATCAATCAAAATAACAAATTTATTAATTTTTATCCCGGGAAAATGAACGGTTCCCGTGGGATAGACATAATTGACCATCATCTATGTAAAAATTTGGAAAACAGGAAGATTCTATATTATTTATGATTCATATATGTATACATATGTATGTATATGTCCCACAGGACATGTAAGGACACGTGGCTATGTAACAAAAACCACATTACAAAGTAAAATTACAAGCAATGTACGAGTACCTATCTATTATTTGAAACCTTGAATGCGTTTAAATAAAGACAAATCGCGTTACTACCATTTGTCCATGGACTAGCCGACTTT